CAAGTTTATCAAGATATCAAGCGGCAGGGCCACTCATTATCGCACTGTGCTCTATGACGCTCACAGAACATTAGTGACCAGGCCGAGATGGCTTAGTCTTGAAGTGTCCTCTCAGAAGGCAGAATGAGAGGAGGAAGCAGCCTTCGGCCAGCAAAACCGATGGATCCAACGAACAACTTAGGGGATGGTCTCCCATCACTTTGATTTGTCTCTCTGGCATTCCACCCCGTTTCTGTCCTTGAGAGACAATACTTAAGGACAACTTTAAATTTCACCTTAGTGATAATAAACCTTTCCCTGATTCTTAAACATGCACCTACGTTTTCACACACTCAATAAAATGTTATTCTTCTCTCTTCTGAACTTCCAGTTCTTAAGATGCTTATAGCATGTCATGCAGTCACTTAACATTTATTGAGAAAGTTATGTGCCAGGTGATGGGGCTACAAAAGTGAGAAAGACGCAGTCCCTCCCAAGTGATAGGAGCACAGAGACAAATAAAAAGGCAATTCCTACTAAGTGCTGAGAAAGGGAAGCACACGGTGCCAAAGAAGTGTTACCCCACCCAAACCATGCAGGAAGGTTTTTTTGGAGGAGAGGAGTCCCCCCTGCTCTGGAAGGGTAAACAGAGTCAGGCAGAAGAACCAAAGGTGCCAGGGGAAGGAAACAATGGCATTTCAGGAAGAGCACGCGCTTCTCTGAAGGCAAAAGAAAGTGATGTGTTTGTAGAGCTGGAAGTAGCTCAGTGTGGCTGAAGTGCAAGGGAAGTGAGACATGGCAGTGGTGAGTGACTAGACTACAGGTCCACGTGTGTCAAGCCAACCAAGCTGATTTTCCAGGATTATGTGAGAGAATGGGCTGTCATCTTCCTCCTACCACTCTGTCAGGGTCAGCAAACGTTTCTGTAAAGGGCTAGACAATAACTATTTTAGGCTTTGTGGTCACATACTGTCTCTTTTTATAAGCCTTTCAAAATGTGAAAACCATTCTTAGCTCTTATTCTCAGTTTGCTGCCCTCGTTCATTCTACTGCAATTTCTAATATAACGTCCATTTTCCCTGTAAGGCTGTGAGCTCTTTGAGGGCAAATACCGTCAGCATCACATCCTCAGTGCCTCGCACAGGGTCCGGCATGCAAGAGGCTCTCAAAGTATATCTTTTTTAATTCAGGAGAGAAATGATGACAAGGGTCTGCATTAAGTGGGTATAAAGGGGAAAGAGTCAAGGGCTATTTAGAAAGTAAAACGAAGGGAACTTGGTGACCAGTTGGTGGGAGGGGAGAAAGAATGAGTCAAAGATAACTTACTACACATTTTATCCTTCATCATCATCTCCATTTTTTCCCCTATTAGAATATAAATGCCTTGAAAGAAAGGCTCACACCCTTTACCACTGTGCCTACCTAGCACTGTACTTTGCGTATAGTGAGTGTGCAGTTTAATAATTTTAATAGAATTCCCATTATCTTAACCCTGGTTTCACAAGCATTAACATATCTAAACAAAGAGAAATTCTCTTGAGGAAAGTGGTACACTATCTTATGGTATTGATATAGAAATCTCAATATATAAACAATTCCTGGACCCTACTACCATTCAGTGATTTACAGATTTATGCAAAACCAAATCCAAAACCAGTCCTGTAACTCAGAAAGCTTGGTTTATAATGTTTTTAAGTTTCAAAGACAGATTTTATAAATGATACTGAATTATCCACATCCTCATTCCGAAAGCTTTAGGGAAGTAGAAATTAGCAATGTATTGATTTTTAAAAAGAAGGAACTAAGCCTGAAACAACCAGAATAAACCAGAGATCCCATTTTCACCAAATTTTTATATCCTAAGAACAAGGTTATAAGATTAGGCAATGGATCATTTATTTCATCCTTAACAGGCAAAACCAACCCACAAACTTAAGCATCCAAAGGTTAAGTTAGCAGACACGGAGATGAAAACAAACTCTAAAGGGAACCTGCAGTTACTTACAGGGCCGCAGCACCCGAGATGATTTCAATCAACTCCTTTGTGATGACAGCTTGGCGAGTGCGGTTGAAAGTCAAAGTCAATTTGTCAATCATCTCAGCTACAAAAGAACAAAAAGATAGATAACAAAATCTAAAACTAGAAAAGAATAACTTCTTCTTTAACTTATTCACAGACATATGTTGCTTAATTTAAGAATAAGAAAT